GGGCCTCCTCCCGGTGGGACATGCCCAGAACACCTCCCTAGGAAGGTGCCCAGGAGGCATCTGAAACAGATGCCCGAGCCACCTCAGCTGTCTCCTCTCGATGTGGAGGAACATTGCCCTTTATCTGAAATCATTTGCTGACTGTAGACTTCAGATGAAAGACTGAGGAAAGGGAGTCATGTTTCTGTGAATCCCAGTTACCCTAAGTGCATCCATGTTTTCCTCACTTGTGTCTTTTCCTTGTGTCTTAGTCCTGCCCATGTAAGATGCAAGGATTAAGATACAAAGAATAAATGTGAGGAGAGAGGAATCAAGGAAACATATTTAAAAGGAAACAAGACTTCCTTTCCTCAGTCATTCATCTGAAGTGTTCAATCATCAACTGATTAATAATAAAGGGGCATCTTGGTTTGCAAAAAAGACATCTGCAAAGGATGCACTCATGTGTCCTCGTTCATGGCTCCTCCAGGCAGCCCCCTCTCTGCTTGATTCTCACTGGTCAGAGCAGGAACAAGAGTTTTAGGACACCCTTCATGACCGAAACAACTTCTGGGCTGAGTCAGGAGTGAAGGACAATAAAATAACAAAATTAGGCTTCAACTCTTGATTCTTCTTTCTTCACATCTTACATGGGCAGGACAAAGACGCAAGTGATGGTAATGTTCTTACTGTTCCAAGAAATCTGACCTTTTGTGGGAGTAGTTGAATCATTGGTTTGCAGGAAGTGCTGAGACTTTGTCTGTGCAGATTCTCAGTCATCCAGGTCATAGTAAGCTGAGAATTGAACTTGGACAGAACTGACGAAGTCTCTTGGATGAGAGGTGAAATGTCTTTTCTGCTGAGACTTTGCCACTTGTATTTTACTTTATTGTTGTTATTTTATTTAGTGTTTTTTGTTTTATTGGTCATTTTTTCAATGTTGAGGATTTGAATCATGCTTGATTCAGCTTCTGACAAAATACAAAAATAGATCCTGCAAGAAAATTTTCTGTTTGGAAGCATTTTTGAATGAATATCTCCCTATAAAATAAAGGCTACATGGCTTATAATATAATATAAATTAAAAAAAAAAAATCAAAGCTTTCCCTTTCCTCTCAGTTACACAAGCATTCTTAATTGTTGCCACATGTCACTAATATTTGCACTATGTCCATAGCACAGTAGAATATAATTTGGCTGTAATTCATTACTTTCAAAATTAGGTGTAATTGAACTTTGAGTCAAATGAGCCTCGTTGGTTTAGAAAAGCCTTGTATGGCTATCACTAGCTTTGGGCATGTATAAAAAATGTAACTGGTATTTGCCATGGCCACAGGCTGTATATATTGTCACAGTGAGTTATTAATGATATCGTCCACTCACCTTACTCTCCTCTGTTCATCGTCTGGCAGACACCATGCTCAAAATGGAGGCAATTTCTGTCTCACAGATTCTCACCTGGAGATGGTAAAATAGGTCACAGGGATACACATCATCTTCAAAGCACAGGAGAGAGCTGTTGGGCTAAGCTGGTGCCACTGGTGGCATCCTGGAACAGACTAATTTCTGGATAGCCTAAAAGCAGTTTCAGTTATGTCCACAATATACGACATGATTTCTCTAATCCTACCGGCAGTCCAGTTCACATTAATCAAAAAAAAAGCTTGTTATTCTTCCAGCCTAAACAACACATTGACCAATTTATTGTTAAGTACCTCAAAATAATTTGAACAAAAGGTATTTCCCAACAATGTGCAGTAGAATCAGGTGCTTCCCAGATTAAGGACAGCATATATTTTAGAAGAGCAAAGCATGGGTCATACTGGTTCATTTTCTACCTTTAATGGTGCAAATAAACCAGACTAAGGTTTCCACACAACTATGTCTTCATCAAAGATCAGATCATAGGCCTTAGACAGGTCCATATATAGTGCGTCTGACCAGGTGCACATTTGTTATTGGACAACAGGTAAACAGTTTAAAACTATTGGAAATTTGATGCAAGAGGCAGGGATTGCAAGAGCCAATGTCTAAACACCACACATCTTGACAACAGGACAAATTAGGCTTCTAAGCTAATGGTCCACTTTCCACTCCAGTAGGTGGCGGTAATGCGCATGTAAGCTGGTTTATCACCCGCCTTTAAACCACAAAGAAGAAGAAGAAGAAGAAGAAGAAGAAGAAGAAGGCCAATTTAGGGTAATCAGTAATCTAGCTCACCTGGGCACAGAGCGCCATGTTGTTGTTCCCATCACGTTTTAAATTTGGTTCTCATAGCAGCCCCCCCACTGTGGTTAGGCTTAAAAACAGGTTATGGTCTGGTTAAGCAAAGCGGAGGAACACACTAACAGGTAAACTAGGTTTCTTTGTTGTTCTGGATGGCAGGTTTGATTGACAGGTCAAATCACGAAATTGTGACATCTAGTGGTGAAAGCTAGCCATAGCTTTCTTGTCTTATTTAATGACTGGCTTTACCCCTTTCTTTGTATTCATTATATGATGTGTAGCCATCTATTCATAATGGTTGGCTCTTCATTAATTGAAGTGTGTATTTGTTAAAGGGTGTTTGGCTTTTCATTACTAATTAGACAATATTTATTATTTGATGGTTGGATTCATTTACAGTTAAGATTCATTATTTCATTCATTATTACACATTTATTATTTATTGTGATAGTTATTTAATGATATTTATCAATTATTGTAATGATTCATTACAGTTATTTGACAAAAGAAAAACTTCCTGTCATTATTACATGCTGTCTAAAAATGGCACATTGCAAAAGATGTAGAATTGTCAGTAGTCTATTATTTAAATTTTACTGGAATATTTGGAAATCCACGGTGGTTTGTTTTGTGATTCTGAATTGAAATTAATTCAGCTTGTAGTTATTTAAGATAATGATCAGGGAGCACGGATGGAGTGAACATGGCTATATGTATAACCACACAGTAGTACTACTGTAGTCTTGTGCTGTTCAGTACAACAGCACTTGGCATTTTAAGGCACAGTTTTGTTTTGTGTTGTGTTTAAAGGAATTTCATCAGTATGTGGAAACTGTGATGCTTGTATATTTTCCCCAAGTGCAGTGGGATCGAGAAGCTCATTTTTCAACCCATTAGTTGGCCTTTGTCATTAAAGCAGTCACGGACAGTGATGAATCTGCTATTAATGCGACTGTTAGAGAGTAATTGGATGTGTTATGGGTGCTAAGAATTACTGACGACAAACTTTCAAACAAACACAAAAGAAAAACATCAAAAGGAAATCAGTGTTTTTAATGTGCAGTGAGAAAGTAAGGGCAACTGATAATGATTGTGTTTCTATAAAGATAGACATTTCTTTCCAAGTGAAAATCGTAATTATATATTTATATAAATATCTATATTATATATAGAATACATATCTATTTGCTATGCATACTCAAAAATCACACCTTCAAATATATTTAAAAAGTCTTTCAAAACACAAAGGTTTTCTTTTCTTTCTTTAAACATGAACTATCCATATGAGCCAAACTAATTATCAGGATGGGAATAGTATTATGTTTCAAAAACCAAAACGTTGGAAATGCTTTTCTTCTCAGTCTAGAAGGATAGTGGACATATTTTTTAATATGGGATTCAAAAGCCACCTTGATCGCTTCACAAACCGGGAACCACACTGCAAAGATACAAAACCAGAATAACACTTATACACAAATCCCCTTTGTATGGTGGATGAAATGCCAACAAGTATGACTTCTCAAGCAAACTCATTTCTGTTATAAAAATAGAATTCTTTTTAAAATAATCTACAATTTTCTTTTTAAGGTGAGGCAATTCACTATCACTCTAAAACAGCAAAGCTGTTTGTTTCAATAGAAAATATGAAGCTTTAGCGAGAGACCTGCCAGTCTATCAGTCAGTGATCGGAGGGGACTAGCACAGACCCCCCAGCCACTCGTCTCAGGACAGTAGATTTTTGCCGGCTCCTCCTTCTTTTTGCATATTCTATACTTTTTAAAAAAAGAGAGTTTCCTTTTAAACTAGATACACCTTTTACAGGTAAACAAAAAGAAGTTTCACCTCCTCAAAGCTCCTGAAATGTCCAGGCAATTTCAAAAGTGTTAAAAAAATGTTCTTTTAAACTACACAAAGATAACAAAAAACAAAAAACAAAAATAAGAACGGCGCAGGTACATGACATACTGGCTTTCCAAACAAGTGCAATGAATAAAAAATAAAGTAAAAAGAGAAAATAATAAAAAATATACAACTCTGTATTACAAGTGAAAGCAAAGTCCTACAGTAGAGAAGGCAACAAACATGATTGAAAAAAACAAACCAAAAAAAAAAAAAAACCGGAAAACCACGATCACACAAAA